AAAAAAAAAAAAAAAAAAAAAAAAAAAAAAAAAAAAGGGCATCGGGCTACTCCAAGAGGCAAATCAGAAGGTAAAATAATTCTCCATGTATGCGGTGACTCCTGATAACAGTGCCATCAGCGGTTTTCATGTAGATGAGGGCTCTCAGCCAGGGACACTTCTGTCCCCCGGGCCATGAGGAAGCGCATGGGACACTTGCTTGATACCAACTGAAGCAGAAGGTGACAAAGCCCAGGCATGCCCTCAGCATCTTTCATTCCCAGGACAGTTCGCACACAAAGAACTGTCTTTCTCCAAATGTCAGCAGCAGAGCCCATCCTTGAAAAGCCCTGGTGCGGCTACACTTTGAAAGAAGCAACTGTTGCAAATCACTCTCCCACTTTGAAAGGTTAGAGCTAGAGCGGCAAAGGCTTCCGGCATCTTATTTTTATTTCTGCCAGTAGAGGTCAGTATTCCACATCACATCCACACATTTGTGTCTGTATATGCGTGCACACACACACACACACACACATTCCTACATGCAATCAGATAAGAATACTCACATGCTCTAACTATACATACAACACACACGTAGCTTTTCTAAAAAAATCTACAGGGTGCAGAGAAATTTCTGTTCCCGGCCACTTAGGGACACAGTATGCTGATGCCCAGGGCAGCGCTTACCCTTACGGGACAGGGAACAGAGAACTGACATCTCTGCACCTGAGAAATGTGTCCAGGGTTTGAGCCTGTGCACTGAGTTTGACTTTTATTTCTTCACCGCACCGATTTAGCAGCCGTCTAGGGAGAGCAGTTTACAAAATGAACATGACTTCTTCAGAGTCAGCTGCTGGATATTTTCCTGGACACAGGTTGGCATTTTCTGCGTTTGATGCCTTGGTCCTGCCTCGACCTTTGGTCTGAGTGACACCACCTAAGATTTCCCCGGGCTTCGGGGCCAGCTGCTCCTCAGGGCCTGGCTCAGCTCTCAGCAAGGCTGGCTCCTCCTTGCCCTCAGGGTCCTTCCCAGTCCCCACCACCCCTGGCCCAACTCTTGGCCCATCAGAGCCCCAAGCTCTCAGTCTGCTCTGCATGAGGGATGCAGACACCCGGAGCTCACGCGTCTGGGCTCACCATTTGCCAGTCTTTTTCTGCGTGGTTTACTCCCAGGAACTCAAAGAAGGAGGCAAAACCCTCATTCAGCCACAAGTCATCCCACCAGTCCATGGTCACGATATTTCCAAACCACTGAAATCAGAAGCAGCACAGAGATAGTTAAATTCTTATTCTCATGATAGAGAGTTCTGTCACTGTGTCACGGAAGTGGCAGGCACTGCACCTGACACTTATTTCTTGCTTTATTTATCCTGATTTTTGAATATTAGATGCTTCTTGGTTTACTGTCTTTGTTTAGGTTCTACTGGGAATATTAAAGTTATAGAAAGGCTGCTTATGGATTGACTAATGGTAAAACAATGGATTTGAAAGCTTCTTTATGGTTCAGTGTTGATTAGCAGGAAGACTAGTTTTCAGCAGGATTTTCTGAGCTGGTTATTGTTTACGTGCTAAATCGTAACCAAATGACTCCTCTGGCCCTGAGCCAGTTCTGTGCAAGCCGGCCTGCGGTGGAGACCCTGTACCTGGTGCACCAGTTCGTGGGCGATCACAGTGGCCACCCGCTGCTGGTTGGCAGAGGCCGACTGCTGGGGGTCGTAGAGCAGGTTCGTCTCCCGGTACGTGATGAGTCCCCAGTTCTCCATGGCGCCCGTGCCAAAATCCGGAATCGCGATTTTATCTGCGGAAAAAGAAAAAGTCCAGTAAGAAAGACATTCTTTCCATTTGTTCACAGCCTTTTTAAACCCAATTAAGCTCCTTGGGTGAATGTTTTTTTAGAGGCTAAAAATAATTTCTTAGAGCGGAGAGCAGCAGTCATCTGTGCAAACATTTCAGTCCCAATGCGCTCAAACTTTCCACGGTGCTTTTCCTGCTCGTTCTAGGCATCAATGTGGCCTTATTTTTTTGACAAGGATCCTCAGGGCTGTTTCTTTCCAGGCCTCTATTATTTTGCATCATTTGTTCCTGTCTGTACAGTACTTCACAGCGAGGAGCTTTTCTCTCCCATGGTTTTCACCTCGGTAATGGGAAGCGCCTGTTTCGGGGATGAGCAGTGGGGAAAAAGAATAAAGCATTCAAATGGGGACTAAGGATGCACAGCTGCTTCTGAGTGCACAGAAATAGAAGTCGTCAAGGACACAGAGTGGGGAGAACATAAACTTCTGTTTTCCTCCCTAATCCTATGATTCAAGGTCAACTTGACCCGCCTTGCAGTCACCACCATGTAGATGTATTAAAGAAGCTAGAGAAAAATGGAGTGGACCATATTCTTCCCAGTGCTCTCCAAGATCTAAGAAGTCAGATTCTATGAAGACTTTCTGTTCTTTCTCTTCGCTGGGGTCTACAACCCTGGACATAGTAGTTCACAGGAGGAGGCAGCGTGGAGCAGCTCTACGTTCCATCCCAAAATAGAAAATGCTCTGTCGATTAGTAGAAAACACAGCTTCTCTGTTAACGAACTCTAATCAGAAAGTACTTTCTTTATTATTATGCATAACTCACATGAGGCACAGAAATGAAAATAAATTGAATTTTTCATCTGACATGTAAGAAAGGCCCTTCTTTCTGGTTAAAATATTTGTCAAGCTTTTTATAAAAGAACAAAAATGATGTATCTGAGGTAGAGGTCGAAAGCATGGTAATAGCTTCTTTTCAAGTTATCTATACTTTCAGGGCTTGCCATTTTGTTGTAAGGACATTCCTAAGGAGTGGGGGAGTCCCTCCTGCCAGGGCCAGTACTTTTTGTAATGCTGCAGAGTGTGACATGCACCTAATCCTTGAACAAAAGAATTTTTGCTATCCCATGTCTCCGGTGGGTCTTGGCACTATAACTAATCAGCACCAGCACATTTCCAAGAGGCCTGTGGTAGAGCTAATTCTGTAAGTGTTGAAAATGCACAGAGAAAAGAAAGAAGAGCGAATGGGGGTTGGGACAAACAGGAGAGCAGAGGGGGAAGTGGAGTCCCACTCCCTAGCGCACACAGGGGCTGCACGTGGGATAAGGGGGGAAAGACCCTGCAATTCAGGAGCTTGACATTTTATTAATTATTTTTTTGACACTGATGAAAGGCTGCTGGTTCCTTCTGTCTCCTCCAGTAGCTGTTAAGCAATAAAAAATGGACACCACTTCCACTGAAGAGAAAATACAGCATCTAGGAGCTTGTTCAGAACCAAGCTGCCCTCCTGAGGAGACCTTGGCATCCCAGGTACTTTGCACTGATAATTTATGAAAGGAAGGCCAAAAACAGCACAGGGAGGCCAATTGTTGGTTGGTTGGTTCCCTTACTGCCTTCATTTTGCTCCTACAGCCATCTCGAGGGAGCTTACATTTAAAGTTCTGCTAATGCGCCTCAAGTCTATGAATAAAGTATTTCTGCTATGGATGGCAATGCCATATCTACACCATTTGATTGTAGCCATATTTTTGTTTTTAAAAAAGCATTCCTCCTTCCATACGGTGGAAAAAGTTATACTTGTGAGAGGGCTAACTGCTGAGGAATCTGGAGTTGGTTTTACTCAACCATGGGAAGACTGGAAGCACGTGGGACTCACCACTTCATTTACCCCGTCATTTCCAAGGCTCTGATGCTGGAAGGCAGGTAAGTGATGAGGACCAGTGTTGAAGTTTTAAACCCACTGAGCTAAGTGCTGTTTCTGGTTCTATCGTGAATAGGTGTGCAGCTTTGGGCACAGTGCTCACCACCCTTTGTCAGGAAGGGAGAGTATTCACATTATTCTCAAGAAATCCAGAATGGGTATTTCACTATGTATAAAGGGTTAGGTACAAACTATAGGCATGACCATTAACTAATGGCGATAGAATGGGTGGAATAAATTAACTTAGGTAAAAAGAAAGACAATAGTAAAAAATAAGAAAATAAAAAATAATTCTTACCTAACTTAGGAAGAGAATAATTCATACCAAAGTATTCTTCAAAGTAATCAAACACAATTTTTGTTATGTTTGCAGCATATTCAGCTGTGTGTTTTTGCTCTGGCTGGACATAAATAGTGAGCTATTAAACAAAACACAAAAAATTCAATGAGAATTATTCTTCATTGATAGAGCACAAAAAACTATGATACATGATATAGTTGAAAGAAGGAGGATTCTGGAGTCAGATAAGTCTAACTGGAATCCAGGTTCTGCTTCATACTGCCCATGCGGTCTTGGACAAATCACATCTCTGAAACTCATGTGAAACATGAATTAAATTCCATAACTCAATCAGTGATTTCAGTGACTAGAAACAGTGCAAGCCACAACGGTTGGCACTTTGTTCCAGACACTAAGAGGTGTTATTACTCTTCCTACTTAAAACACATGTTGTCTTAGTGTCTATGAACCTATTTCTATTCCTACCCCCACCAGCCCACTCATCTTTCTCTGTCTTTCTCTGCATGTTGTCTTGGAAGAAATGAATGAATGGGATTTTTCCCATCTAAAGAGCCCTGGGATACACATTTTTCCTTTGTGCTATTCCATCCTGCTTTTGCAAATTACTCCTCTGATATTTCAATTATTCCCAGAGCTTATAATGATCCAAAATTTCCTCTCTGGGAGGCACCGTGGAAAGTGACAGCAATTTTCAAGCTGTATGTCGCAATGACATAACACATGTTGAGCCAAACAGAGACTTTCCTTCCAATTCTAGCATGTATACCTTTACACAAGTATCAGAAATCCTTTTAAACATAGCATCCTGGGAGTGGATGAGGTCCCCTAGACAGCAGGGCTGTAACAGGAATATCACAGGTGTTTGCATTGCTCAGCGTATGAAGGGAGAAGAAGAGTCCTTCAGACAAGTAGGGTCTGCTAAAGTTTGCGAGAAATTTAAATGAGATATGCATGCCAACTCCCAGCCCTGGTCCAAAACTTTTAAGGAAAGCAAAAGATGCACTCATTTAGCAAATTCAAAACCATTGACCTACCCAGACTGGATGACTCAAGATTTAAAAGAAAAAAAGGGAAAGAGAAAGAGAAATGACGCCTACACTTTTCCTGTACTATTCGCAATGCACTGCTAGTGTTGCTCTTCATTTAGGCTCACAGCTTGAGTCATCTTTTCTTAGAAATAAACAGCAGAGGAAAGATCCATAAAGGACAAAGTTTTGAAAGAGCATCCTTGAAATTGTCATGCCTGGCTCTCGACTCTCCCTCCACTGGTTAATGACATTCTTGCCTTCTTTGTGCACAGATGTGTTCATCTTCGCCTCCAGAGCAACACAGCTCACTGAACGACCACCTCAGTGCTCTGAGTGTTTGTTTCTTTGGCTGTGTTTCCAGATGTGATGGCTCCATCTCCCGCTCCCGCCCTCTTGTGTGCTTGGGGAACAATGACATGTATTTTCCAAGCAGTTAAGTGAAACCAGGGAGCCAGTTGGTGACAGGGCAAAGGCAATTGGCCACATGAAACCCAAATTGATCTGTTCCCACAGAGCCACCACGCTGCGCTGTCGGTGAGAGGCTCAGACACTCAGTAAACTCCCCCGATGGCCTGCGGTACTTGTTCTCCACCCTTCACACTGGAGTAAGGGCAGCTCTTCTTGATTCACTCCACTGTCGTCCACACACTCTGGTTTTGTGGTGCACAGGCTTAGGGACTGGAAAAAGTTGAGAAAGTGGAAGAGCAGGCAGTAGGGAGGCTCCCGGTGGAGGGGAAGCAGTGGGGAGTAGAAAGACTCAAAGGCTCTTCTCGCTAAGGTTTTCCCACTTCCCATGCTGGTAGATGGGCTCCCTTTCAGCAGTATGCATCTAAAAAGTAGCCTCCATTTCTCATGCTCCACATTGGTGTCAGCAGCAGAAATGTGGTGGCTTTACATAAGACTGGTGGCAATGTCAGTTCAATCAAAATAAAAGCAGTTCCTATGTTTCCGTTTCTGAGGAGGCCACACCCACAGAAGTGTGCTGTGGACAGCCTGAGCAGCCTGCAGGGACCTATGGTCCCTGTGCCTTCCAAGCAGGGCCATCGACCACAGTTTACCACCACCTCTTCGATTAACTGAGCTAAGTAATCACAGAGCATATGGACACAGCCCATTGATTCTGCAGTTTAATTAGCCAGAGCCTATCTACGAGTGTGTCCTATCTGCTGTGGGTCAGGAACGCATCCTTACGCTGAAAACCACCAACCTGCTAACGTTGTCAGCTCCCACGTGCCGTGTACGGCATGCATTTAGCTGCAGAACTGCTTGGATTTGGGGGTTTACAAAAGCATCCCTCACTCTCCAGACAGCTTGGTGCTTCCTCTGCCAGACTGTTCCTGCCCTGTGACCTCGGCCTCACATGCAGCACATGCTCCATCTGCAGCCAGGCTTGGTGGTGGACACACATAATACAAGATACTTGGGAGGCTGAGGCAGGACTGCAAATTCAAGGCCAGCCTGGGCAATTTGGTGAGACTTTATCTCAAAATAAAACATGAAAAGGGCAGGGCATGTAGCTCAGTGGTAGGGTGCTTTCCTCACATGTGTGAAGCCCTGGCTTCCATCCCCAGTACCACAACAATGCTCTGTCCACCTCCCCTGGCCGTTCTCTGGGATTCGGCAGAGGTGGGTAAGTCTCCTCCACCATCTGCTTAGCATTTCTGTCCAGGACAAAGTGCAGGCAATTACCCTTGGCTTTTAATAATAATGGCCCTCTTTCTAGTTTACATGCTGGCTTTACGGAGACATGTTTAGAGTGCATGGCTAGCCATTCTGAAATAGTACAGAGGAATGGGGATTTGTCCATTGTTTCCTTCCTCTTTTTTCTGTCCCGAAGCCCTAGATGAGGCCCGTACCATCTTTATGTCCAGTGATTATTTATGTCTCTGCAACCAAGACCATGAGCGAAGTTCAGCAGCACAACTATTACGATCTCTTACAAGTCTTTTACTACCTAAAACTCGTCAGGGAATGCAATAATCACTTCCCACGCAGGGTCCCTTGCTTGCTAGACATTGGTTCTATGACTCTGATACTCTGAATGAAAACAGAGCACAGCATTCTGCATTACCGAGGGTTGCTTCATGCCAGCCCTTTTTCCAGTCTGGTTCCCAGCACCCCTTGTCCACAATTACAAAATCCAAAGAGCTCTGAAAATCAAAAGCTTTTCTAAGCAAACTAATCTGGCAGCACCATCTGACAGGAACTGACTTTGTACATCATCATCCTTCCCTGTTCCAAACTGCTGCAGAACATCACTGAGGGTCATGCAGCTCCGCCCCAGGTCCTACACACCAGTGCAACACAATGCCTTTCGCAAACCTAAAAGGGTACGGATCCCAGCGTACAACTGGTCACAGAGATCACACATGATTTCAGACCCCTGTCTGAAATTTCAGAGCTTGAAAAGGATATCACAACAAACTTCCTCACTGTATGCAGGACAAAAATAAAGACCAAGGCACAAGTGGCACTAGAATTGAGAAGTTTGGTTCTTACTGTACCGCGCGGCCTCTTACCGGTGAGACTGAATTCTAAATTCCTAGCTGAAGTTAGAGAAAACAGCAGCGCGAGCATCACCGAGTTGCTGCAGGGACTGAACAAGGGACTGACACACACCGATTCTATGTGTCCCATAGGCAGCATCGGTTTCATCACAGATAACACATGAATTATTCAGCTCTGGGGTTTCCCTTGGTGCACGTCCTTAGGTGTGAGTGATGTCACTCGCTGCTGTTCCCAGTAGCTATCAGGAACGCGGGAGGAACGCAAGGAGGGTAAATTTGCATTCTGACACCCAAAGGAGGCTCTTGATGCTCACACAATAAACTTGAAAGCCAAAACCCTTTGATTTTCAAGACCCTTATTCTGAAAGGCTTTTAGCAGTAAACAAACAGAAAGCCAGGAATAGAGCGAATCACAGAATTTCTGCTGTGAGGTCGGAGAGAGAATGGCAGAGACCTGCAGACGTGTCTCAAGGAGAGGAGAGGAAAGACTCCCCGGGGTCAGAGGAGGGGAAGGAGGAAAGGCAGTGAGCGGCTCAGGACCCGACCCGGAGGGTGCGCTGGGTCTGAAGCGAGCGCTGCTGGAAAGGCCGCGGATGGAAAGGAGCTGGCTTTCCCGGACTGCCGCTCTGCTCGGTCGGACGCTGGCCAGGCCCGCCAGGCCCGGGGGCGCGGCTCAGCTGTCCCCGGCCCAGCTCTACAGCGCCTGTCTGTTGATGCCAGAGCGACCCATGTTGCTTGTCCGCTCGCAGCTCTTGGCCAGCGCAATTCCCGCCTCTCCCTGTTATTCAGGCTCCATAGGTGATAAAGTCCATGGTCGCTCTCCCTTTACAGCAGCCTGACCTCGCACTGCGGCTCCGGCAGGGCTCTCACCCGACCTGCTCCAAAGGGGCGCCCGTTCAACGAGCCAGGACCCGTGCGGGCCGCTCTCAGAAGGCCGGCGCCACCGGGGCAGGGCTGAGGCGCTCGGAGGCACCGGGCGGCTGCGGCGAGGCCCCGGCTTCACCCGCGATGGGCGCAGAGCCCTGGCCGTTCCTTCCTCGGACCCGGCGACCTCTCGCGCACACAGAGCGTGTTCCGGGGACTTAGGAGGTAATCGACTGAAGGGACTGGTCTCGCTTGTTAAAAATCAAAACTGAGGGGCTGGGTATTTAGTTCAGTGGTTCCGCCGCCTGCCTTGCAAGCGGAAGGACCCGAGTTCGATCCCGGGTACCAAAAAAAAAAAAAGAAAATCAAAACTGAGGTAGCCAAGGGCAGAAGGGGAGTCCGTATTGTTCAAAATTCTGCTCATCCGTGCTGAACGCACGTAATTGCTATTGCTAAACATGACGTCCCCCGTTGAATGTTAGGGGTTTATGTTCTTCTAAATGTCCTCCTAGCAGTGGGCAGAAAGTTCGGGGAGAGGGATACTCGGCAGAAAAGACTGGTGACACGGCAGGGGTTTTGTTTTGTTTTTGATTTTTCAAGTTTTGCCTTTTCAGTGTGATGTACCAGTCACGCAAAACCTTTCCTCAGAGTTTGGGTGAATATGGCCTAGCTTTCCTCCTTCTTCCTTCCTTCCCTTTGTTTCTTTCTTTTTTTTTTTT